ATTTGTATGGACTACGTGTATTTGTATGGACTACGTGTATTTTTATGGACTACGTGTATTTGTATGGACTACGTGTATTTTTATGGACTACGTGTATTTTTATGGACTACGTGTATTTTCATTCATACCGAAGCATTCATTCATTCATATCTGTATTCCTCCAAACATGAAGAGTTATATAAAATACTTATTTTAAATAAACAATAGATATAAGAAAATTAATACAGTTAAAAAATAAGGTAAAGTGCTATCTCACTGAAACATACCGCCGCAGACACCCAACAGGACACCCCATCCGGTCACATTATACTGACAACGGGTGAACCAGGCGTCCCACTCCTAAATTGCTGAGCGTTAAGCAAGAATAGAAACTACCAGTTTTACAGACTCTGGTATGTCTCGGCCAGGGGACAGAACTCAAAGCATTCCTCACAGGGGCGAACGCTCAACTAAAGGCCAAAAGTGAGGTATTGTCAAGGGAGACATTAGGAAGAAGAAAGTTGTTTAGAAAGAAGAGAAAATATAAGATCCCAAATTTAGTCGGCTCTTACGATCATTTACAATTCTTACGCCCTACCTGCACGTTCCCTATTCAGTACATACTGTTTATACTCGAGTTATGTTAGCTGATGCACGAAGAACATTTTTGCATCTTTTTCGTTATCTAAGATATGATTCTGTATATGATTACATAAACCATATTTTATAAATATGCCCTTTTACTGAAATACAATGTACTAGTTGTGCCGGGAACAATTTTCGCTACAGTTTAAAGTAAAAACATTTGTCCCTGCTTAGCATCGATTTAGTTAATCAGGGATGCGTATAATGGTCCGAGAGAAACTGCTTTTTTTTGTTTGATATCACAACAACATATAGCGATTCTGACTTCCTTAAGCAGTCGGGATCGATTCCAGTCAGCTGCAGTCAACATTCGTAAGCTTTTCGTGTCATGTTTAACTGTTGGGGTATACACTATTTATAGCTTATAACTACATTGTATATCTAAATCAATTTGATTATGACAAATTTAGTCTACTCATTAATTGCATTTTGCCTATGAAAGGCATTCCAGGACATTTATTTACTTTAAAGACTTGACACAATTTGACCGTGTTTTTCATTGTTAAACACATCAACGAGTTGATGGTTACACCTATGAATTAAACAGCCTTCCTACTGTTGATTACAGTGTATACTACCTGAATGTGTTCTTTGAGTGTATATTTACAAACCGCTATTACATTGAATCGGTGTGGAAGTTGATTATTGAGACCCATTGTGGTAACCAATACATGTAAATCATAATAATATAATATACAACATTTATATAGCGCCCTATTTAATTTGTAAAATTACTCTAAAGCGCTTTAAAACATATGGATAATTACTATTGTAATGGTTATAATTGTGAAAACAAAAATCAAAGGCTTACGATCACTTTTATACATTTAAGCAAGCAATGTGCACATAATTGAACAAATAAAAGGGTGGCATTTACATGACGTCTTTGCAAGGATTTTAAAATGCAGACGTGAAAAGGTGAGTTTTGATGTCCCTTTTGAACTTGGCCTGGGTATTTGACTTTCTAAATCAGGATTGACTTCGTATGCTATTTTATCGCATGACATTTTATTTTGTCCGCATTAGTTAACAAGATTTGAGCCTACGTAAAATGAAAAAAATAATTTTATTGATGAATAATGAAAACGATAGGATTAATGAATACGCCTTCATTTATTTAGCGGAGTTGCAATTTAGAAAAAATCTTGAAAAAAATAGCACAGCCTTGCATTGTGTTTCCTGTTTGATAGCTACACCATAAACGTAGCACCTGTGACCGAAATGTATCCTCTCACTATAGAATCAAATTAAATGTGTTACCGTTCCTTTACTACAACATAAGTACTGTAAACGCACATATTTAGCGGTAGTCTTATTTTAGCGTTGTTCCTACCTTAAACATTGCGTAAATCTTGTTTGCGTCAATTGAAGTTTTTGTTTATTATGTTGAGGGCGCGCCAATTCATCGATACGTGAATCTGTTAAAATAAGTTGCTGTGCTAATTTTTATAAAGGATTGGTACGCTAAAATTAGTATTTTTAATGTAATCTGACCAACAACAAGAAAGCAGGTATATTTGTATAAATACTAGGCAAGGTTATCCATCTCAATATTTTATTGTACGGTCAAACTGACATTGCAGGCACGGATCAATAAATTTTCAAAATCAACATAAAGTCCTGTGTCATATTGATCAAACTATGGTAACGATAGCCAAGGAATGAAAGCAAATCTAAAAGTTCAAAGAGATCCAAATGACGATATCATGATAATGGTCACTCGGTAACAACGGCACAACCTTCCAAGGGAAGGTAAGCAGATTTCTGCTTTGCTGCATACAACGTCTTGAATTACAAAGGAGTCCCTGGTTCCACAACTGCTTCGTTCGTCTAAATGAATAGATAGGTGCGTCTGATGGTGGAACGGGCATCAACTGTTCCAGATTCAAGTTCTCTACACGACAACCTTGCTCATGGTAGATTTTATGGTCACTCCAGATTCAATATGAGTTAATTCCTGTTCAACAAAGACATAAAGACATGCTCATCTTTGACTGTTTATTTGCTTTGTTTTTTTTTTTTACAAAATACTACATTTGATTTGAAAATATATTGCAATCTATCTAATATGACACCCTATAAAGAATTTTCCTGAGAAAAGCAGAATCTTTAAATAAAAAAGGTTGTAACTGGATATTTTCAATGCAAATCGAAAAATGCACAAGGTTAAATATGAACACTTGACATCAGATCGTGATGACGCCGCCTTAACCAACTGAATTACCTGGCTATCATTTGTTTATTCTGCTACATTGCCGGTACAGTTATTTCCAAAACAAACTGAAGGAGAGATTACTACATGTACGAAAAAGACAGTAGTATGTTTAGTGTTTTACCTGCAGTTAGACAGGAATCCTTAATGAAGCATTGTAAAAACTAGGACATTTCTTGAAGGAAAAATTGATAGTGACAAAATGGACTCACAGTATATTGCTTATCTCCGGTTTCATTAAGAGTTCTCTCCATTTTAGTTGTCATTATTGATCCATTAGGCCTCCATGTTTTCGTCATCTCAACCATTTTATTTGGATTGCTTGGATCAAGTTTAGGGGTATTCTGCAAAGGTACGAAAAGAACATGTAGGTCAGACCCTGCATTGGAAGCTGTAGTTCACGGAAGAAAACATAGAATATATAGATGAACTGAAGGGTATTGTATGTCGTTCTTGTTCGTTAACGTCATGTTGTAACGTGTTTTTATTGGTATTTGCGTGATGGTACTTAAAATGGAACACTTTCGATATTTATGATACAGCATTATTATCTTGCAACATAACTGAATGATATCTATTCTAAATCATATTTATGTAATTTTAAGAAATCTGACTACCTCTTGTATGTTGATCATTAGCTTAAATGCAATATTTAGGAAATGTAATGAAAAAAAAAGTTTGGGTGCCCTCGTCTTGTACAACAACGCTTTATACGAACCACAAACTCGTTTCCTTCGATATCAGTATCCTTTGGGTTAGTGATGTTAATTTTAAAGTGATTTGTCTTTGAAAGTCCACCAAATTCATATGTGTACGACCATTCGTCGCCATTTACTGTGGTCAAGTGCCCTCCCGTGTAATCTCTGTAACCTGCTATCTCTTCTTCGGTCAATTCTGAATTGAAAAAGAACATTCTAAGATACATAAAATGCATCACAGCAGTGAACTGCATCTTTTTTCACATTTATGATAGAATGGTGTATACACAGGTTCTGTTCAATGCTATTCTCTTGAAGCACGGTAAAGTATTTCATAGATATACTTGAACGAATCTGTGTTACAAACGGTATTAAATGTTAAAACAAAATGTGAAGAATTAAAATCATTGTTAGAAGCATTAAAAAAATAGAAAAACAACACAAGATTTACTATGAGCAGTCGGTGAAAGAAATTGCTATAATATTCATATATAAATAGCATGGTACGTAATATGGTCATGTTTTAAATGATTTATAAACATTGTATTTTATATTCTGTATCTTGTACATTGTAACGTTAAAGTTAAACCTTGTATGGTCTTTTAAACTTTCCAAAAGTGATGGCGATACATTGTTATATTTACATTGCACATATTTTCATATATAGCGTCATAAGCCGTTTTACAAACATACCCTGTCTCTGGCACACATACACATGTACGCTTACACAACACACACAGAGGCACGTCCTAAAATGACATTAGCTGTTAAAGGGACGCTTAACAATATAAAACCTAACCAAATATCGAGAAAAAAATAATTACATTATATGTAGGAGGCGCCGATACACAAGTGATTAAATCAGACGCTATATAAAGTGTATTATAAATATCAAGCTAACCATGCTCTGTAACCTCCTGACAGAGACCATGCCAATGAATTTTAGTAAATAGAACTTTGCGATTTTCGACAACGTTCACTACTTGTGTACTTCAGTGCAACAGGTTGTAAACATTCCAAAGTGTTTAAGGTTATCCGTACACTTACAGACAATACAGTCATGAGTATTTTTTAAACATAATGTATGATGTTATTGACTCAGTAAGACTTGAATTGTTGATATAATGTATAAGTTTAAGGTTAATGAAGGTTCATGTATAATAGTGGTCAGGGGTCAAAATGCTTGTTGATTGGCCAATGATCAGGACTGTTAAAGTGTGATCTATGGTCAAGTTAAGATTGATAAAAAACAGATGCATCGGAGAAATGTTTACACTTCGATGTCATGCTAGCGTTAACGGGTTGAAATTGACGATCAGCATTATAAATATTCTGTTGTGTCGTGATACATTTGTACGTATTGTTTTGAGGTTGTTAGATATCTGATGTTGTTGATAAAATTTAAATTCTACACTTTTTTGCAAAAGCATTCAATGTAGCTTTACTAGTGTAGAGGTCATTTTTATTTGAGGCCCCAGACGGAATACATGTAGTCTTCAGCAAAACTGAGGGGTTTTGTTTGAACTAAAAGTTGCGAGATTTTTTTTTACACCTGTAACTGAGCAAAATCGAGTTATCTCGGTCTCAGTTCTGTAACATCCTAACTTCGGTCTACGTCTCGGTTGGGACTATGTTGCAGAATCTTAGCCGTCGACTGAGATAATCCGATCTCGCTCAGTTACCGGTAATATATTGTATTGATATTACACTGGTTAATAAGTGGGACGAATGCCAGTAGCATACAATAAGGTCTATACATAGACACTCGAGGTAAAGAAAGAAAACCTAAACAATACAGTCTGAAGCCTTACCGGCCTCCATGTACTTGTAGAGAGGCCGATCAAGTTCCAAACCGGTTTTATCTTTATTTTTACCTTAACATTACTATTGATTGCTAAACTCAAATGTCCGTGGTTTCTATCAACACTCGCACTGTATCGAGATACCAGTATATCCGTAATATATAATAATACTATGTCAATGAAATTAAACCTTTGCTGATTAGTTGGTTCTTATCATGATATGTTATCCCCAGGAGATATATTTTATACGTGGCTAATGATCATTATATAAAGTTCATCTATTTCCATTAGCGCAGCTATCCTCAGACAGTTACACTACAGTGATCCCGATACAGCTACACTAATACTTCATCAAATCAGAGATAGCTACACTTACACTTCATCCACTTAAAGGTAGCTACACTTTCATCACAAAAAAACCGACAAAGATAAATTTCCACTACATCAACTCCTAAATACCTACAATTAAATTTCTTCAAGTCAGATATACATGTAGCCACACTTACACTTCACCAAAATAGGACATAAACTCAGGGAAAGCTACACTTACACTACCTAAACTTTTGGGAAAGCTACACTTACACAACGACAGTTCCGGGATTGCTACTCTTACACTACGACAGCTCCGAAATAGCTACGCTTACACCACAACAGCTCCGAAATAGCTACACTTACACTACGACAGCTCCGAAATAGCTACACTTACACTACGACAGCTCCGAAAAATCTACACTTAAACTTACACCACGACAGCTCCGAAATAGCAACATTTACACTATAACATCTCCGGGATATTTACACCTTTGTTATAGCTACACTTACATTACGACAACTCCGGGATAGCTACATCTAAATTCCTTTAACTTTGAGATAGCTACACTTATACTACGACAACTCCGAGACATCTAAACTCCCTTAAGTTTGAGATAGCCTCACTTACACTACGACAACTCCGGAACAGCTACATTTAGATTACACTTACTCAGCTTCCCGTAAACAAGATGTACAACCAAAACTTGTTAATTCAACCATCCTCACTTACCTGGAGACCATTATCAAAACGCTAATCTAGTTGTCATATTGAGACCTTTCTTAACAAATTCATTTTTGTCAATTTAATTACCAAAACTAACTGAAATATAAAGCCCGAATTATCACAAAAATAAACATACAAAATGCATAACGTTGTCATTCTTACCCAAAGCTTTAACAAATTTATCGAAGTTGGTGCACTTTCCTGCAGGTAGATCATCCACCCATTTTCCTGCGAATCTCGACATTGTTAGACCTGGTTGTGTACCTCTCAGCAGTTGTGTGGACTCGATGTTGTAATCCGGTCTTAATATTGCTCTGCACACGGCACGTTTGTTTGCATGTACCTACCTCAACAACCAATACACAATTTCCTCTGCCTCGTTGACTCAAGGACACAAATCAGTTTTACAAATTTTGAACTGATTTGGAATAAATTCAAGACGAAATCGAAATTATTGATTTATTAGGGAAATTCAATGTTATAACTATAATATAAGCATAAGATTCATTATGAGCAGTCAGTGAAAGAAATTTCTATAATATTCATATACAAATAGCATGGTACATAATATGGTTATGTTTTAAATGATTTATAAACACTGTATTTTATATTCTGTATCTTGTACATTGTAACGTTAAAGTTAAACCTTGTATGGTCTTTTAAACTTTCAAAAGGTGATGGCGATATATTGTTATATTTACATTGCACATATTTTCATATATAGCGTCATAAGCCGTTTTACAAACATACCCTGTCTCTGGCACACATACACATGTACACTTACACAACACACACAGAGGCACGTCCTAAAATGACATTAGCTGTTAAAGGGACGCTTAACAATATAAAACCTAACCAAATATCGAGAAAAAAATAATTACATTATATGTAGGAGGCGCCGATACACAAGTGATTAAATCAGACGCTATATAAAGTGTATTCTAAATAACAAGCTAACCATGCTCTTTAACCTCCTGACAGAGACCATGTCAATGAATTTCAGTAAATAGAACTTTGCGATATTTTCCACAACATTCACTACTTGTGTACTTCAGTGCAACAGGTTGTAACCATTCCAAAGTGTTTAAGGTTATTCGTACAATTACAGACAATACAGTCATGAGTATTTTTCAAACATAATGTATGATGATATTGACTCAGTGAGACTTGGATTGTTGATATAATTTATAATGCTTGTACAAAATGCTTGTTGATTGGCCAATGATCAGGACTGTTAAAGTGTGATCTATGGTCAAGTTAAGATCGATAAAAACAGATGCATCGGAGAAATGTTTACACTTCGATGTCATCCTCGCGTTAACGGTTTGAAATTGACAATCAGCATTATAAATATTCTGTTTTGTCGTAATACATTTGTACGTATTGTTATGATGTTGTTAGATATTTGATCTTTGGAATAAATTCAAGACGAAATCGAAATTATTGGTTTATTACGGTAATTCAATGTTATAACTATAATATACATGTATTTACTTGATTTGAACAAGTGAAATATACATAGCTATTTAAACTTAAATAACAATCAGTCGAGTCTGGTTCTACATGTGAAACGTAAAAGAAAAAACATGGGATGACACAAAAAAAGGATATTTTGTTATTGTATTAGCGGTTGTTAAGTTACCCCTTTTAGGTAATTGATAATTTCAAACCTAAGTTTGCATTGCTGCTTTCATATGTTTATCCTCATCTTTAAACACGTGAAAATTTGATAGAAAGGAAGAAAGAAAGTGTGATGATCCAGTTGGCTTGAGAATAACCTATGGTAGCATTGTAGACGTCAAAATAGAACCGGGCTTCATCTACCAATATCCAGGGGAGTCAGCCCCACCATATGTATAATTTTGAATCCTCACCACCAGCTAAATATGGTTGATATTCATCGCTTAGTTCCAGAGAAGAAGTCACTATAAGCAAAACAGCTAAATTAATCGTTTTGGCCCCTCCCCTCAGCCCCCTGGGGGTCAATCCCTCCATTTGTACAATTTGGAATCCGCAACTCACATGAATGCTTTCAACTAAATATGATTGATATCCAACGCGATGTCCTAGAGAAGAAGTCGTTATAGCAATAACGCCAAATTGATCCCTTTTTGCCCCGCCCCTCAGCCCCTTGGGTGATCAGCCCAACCTTTTGTAAAATTTTGAATCCCCACCACCTAGGGATGCTGCCCTGCCAAATTAAGTTAAACTTTCAATCAGTGGTTAAGAAGAAGAAGTCGTTTGAAGAAATTGTTGACGTACGGACGGACGACGTACGCCATGGTATGGCATAAGCTTACCTTGGTCATTCGGACCAGGTGACCTAATAGCTAAAAATAACTCACAAATACATAAAACATTAAACTATCAACCATTTATTGTAGGTGTATAAAGAAAAATATCCCCTTACCTTAGAACTAAAATTCAGTAAGACATTCAATTGGTATAACTCACACTCACAGCAGCATAAATATTGCAAGCTGACAGGTCATAAAACATGAACACTGCACCATACAGCTGTTTCGTCCTTCTATAACTCGTCGGTGACGATAGGGACTGAAATGGTGGAAGCCTAAATTGGTCTAAACATTTTTGAAGGTGAGGGGGAGGTGCCCAAAACCCTTATGTTTTTGTAGTAACATGAATTTTTAAATTTAGAAACATTGTGGTTATTTCAATTGTAAAGATAGTAAGAACATTTTGTGTATAAGGATAACTTTAGTTATCAAGGTTGCAGAAAACTTCGGGGACTAAAGAATCCACCAGCAGATTCTTCCACCTTATACCTTAAAAGATGAACGTTACACACGTGATTGTGACCTATGATTTTGCTTAGTTTTATTTTGTTTATCGTCCTATTAGTAGCTAAAGTCATTTAAGGACGTACCTACATATGTGTAGTGTATGCGTGATTGCACGCGCGGGTGTGTGTGTGTGCAGGAGACAGTGTATATTGGTATGCTATGAAATTTGATTATTGATACAGAATGCAAAAAAAGGAATGAACAACATTACACCATTCATGTATCTTGTCACTATTGAGAAACTATACCTTACATTCTCTTATTTTCAAAATAATGATCTCCCTCGTAGCTGTAAGTCTCTTTACCCTATATTCACACGATATTTGAAAAGATAAGTATATCTTGTGGTTTATTTTTTGTTAACAAACCGGTTTTCGTTTTGGTAAATTTTTCCTATTTTAAATGTACAGCTTTACACAAGCTTGCTCTGCCGGAACACCTGGTCTTGTTCTGCTTGTTTTTTTCACAAACACCAATTTATTTCTTAAACATTAGGAATACTATCTGAACATACTACATCTGATGAAATAGGTCTGAAATATATATAATTCACACAGGTAATCATGGACAATTCTACACAAAACCAATCCATTTCCTTATCATTAGGAATACATTCATCTCACAAAATATGCCAAACATTACCATAAGTTGTACAGGTTAAGGTAATTTGGACTCCTATTAACGAAAGTACATCTAATTCACATTCAAATAAACATAAACAATCTCAGAAACTGATCGAAGAATACCTCATTGTCAACTACAATATAAGAATAAAAAAATCGAACATCCCCTACAGGGTAAGTTAGAGGAATTTCAACCCGAGGCGGAAGATTCTTAATTTGCCAAACACGAGGCATTGCCAAGTGTTTGGCAAATAAAGAATCTTCCGCAGGAGTTGAGAATCCCCATCTCACCTCAAGAAAGTGAATGCTTATTTTGCTCTGACTCTATTAACCCTACCATATACATTATGTAATGATGACGTTCCTGGCTCAACGCATTGTTGACGTGAGATTAATGTATTGGTAACGTGACGTCATACAATTGTTATGACAGGGGTAATCCTCCCGTCTAAATTCAAGAGTCAGACTTTTTTAATATTTTCCCATGTTTGGGTTCAGCCACAAATCCAATATAGGAGTAAATTTCTTAAATTCAACCCCATGACTTTCGGCTAGACATTTAAGAATCTTACCCCTTCGGTTTATATTTTTCTTCATTAACCCCAGCGTGGGGAAAGATTATATTGGCAAGTCACAAACTCGAGATATAGTGCCACTGTGGCTTCCATATGATCTAGAATAGCTGGACCTATCACCTACGTCAACAACAAGCCCGATAAATATATAATTTACGACATGGAATAGTTTGGGTAACCCTCTATTAAGAAAAATATCCTCTTGAACATTTAACAATGGAGTGTCCATATATCATACTGAATGGTGTTTTATCATGTCACAGAATGGTACAGTCATTGCTTGAAGACCCCTGTTCCATTGTACTCGAGAAATTCGCATAAACTAGTACTGTAACCCCTCTGAAGTATCATTTAGATACATCTGCAGCACATTTTGTCAATGACGCTTCCGTTTACCAGGTAGCTTAGTCGGTTTAAGCGGCGTTTGATAATCTGAGGTAAAGGGTTCGAATGCCAGTTTTTCCCGGCTGATTATTTGTCTATCAAAACAGTTGTTGGCCATAATTTGCTTTTATCACAGTTTGATTTTCAGGTTATGGTTTCCAATGCAGAAATTTTTAATTAACGCTTTAGTCATACCAGAAAAATATTTTGGGAGGCTGCAATATGTTCGTGTTTGTCTCCTTGTGATAGCACGGAACTGATGCCGACTTGATAGTGCTACCTCACTGAAACATACTGCCGGAGACACGCAGCAGGACACCCCACCCCGTCACATTATAATGACAACGGGTGAACCAGGCGTCTCACTCCTAATTTGCTGGGCTTTAAGCAGGAGTAGAAACTACCATTTTTACAGACTCTGGTTAGTCTCGGCCAGGGGACAGAATCCAAAGCCTTCCTCACAGGGGCGAACGCTCAACTAAAGACCAAAAGTGAGGCATTATCAAGGGAAACATTAGGAAGAAGTAAGTTGTTTAGAAAGAAGAAGAGAACAGATAAGATCCCAAATTTAGTCGCCTCTTACGACCAATTCGTACGCCCTACCTGCAGGAACTGAAAACGGAGGACAAATATCTGGGCCCAATAAATGGCTGTAGTGCAAGTTGCTTCATTGGGCCCATTGATAAAAATGACATTTATTTTTATGCATAGGATAGTCGACCTCATCACATTGCGCATTGACAGAATTTCGGACCGCAATTACGTAATACAGGTGGTGATTCACCGCATGCCATGAAGCCGTCCTTACAACATGATCATTATACTAATTTAAATAAACAAACATTATTGCACTCATGTTAAATATAAAAAACGTTGTTCGAAATCAATGCAATTAATATATTGGAACTCCATTTTTTGTGTTT